TCTCCTCCTCCTCCTCCTCCTCCTCCCAGGCCGCCCATCGGCCTCCCAGGCCGTCCCGGGCCTCCGCTTGCCCGGGCCTGTGACCATCGGACGCCCGGTGCCTCCTACGAAGGCCTCCTGGGCCGTCTCGCGGGCGCTCGGAGTGCGCCGGAAGCATAGAGCAAAGGCCCTCTTGGCTCTTGGGCCGTCTTGGGGCCATTTGGGGCCGTCTTTGGGGCCGTCTGAGAGGCATCTTGGGCCGTCTTGAGGACCCAGCTGGCAGTCTTGGAGCCAATCCTGGGCCGCCTTGGGAGGCATCTTGGCCTCGGGAGCACGCGTCTGTCGCATGTTACCAAGGATTGTGAGCGTTGTTGTATTCGGCGTTTCGACATTGGGCGGAAGGGGGGGGGGCGGGGGGGTCTGGCTCCAGACCTCTGCTCAGTGCGGCTGTTTGGGACAGTGCGGCCATTATGGGGGAGACTCCGCCTGTTGGACACAGGCACCAAAAACAGCCAAGATCCACTCCAAGGGGGGTGGGGGGGTGGGGGGCCCGCGCCGACCGAAAAAACACAAAACCAATGGGAAATTCATGATGCTCACCTCTCGGGAACCTCTTGGAGTTGCTCCTTCTGCTTCCCTCTATCCTCGGGGATCGAGGTGGAACACCGCGGTAGCGAAACTGGTTTCCTGGCAGCCCAAGGCCGCCTCGGGGCAGCCTGGAGGCCGTCGAGAGCGGCACTCGGGGTCGCCGCTTCGAAGGCCGCCTTCTTACGGGCCGCCCGCGCGGGCCGCCTTCGGGACAGCCGAAGGTCGCCCGGTGGCTTCGCAGCTGCCACCCAGCCAGAGAGCAGCACGGCAACAGCACACACGGGCCCACGCAACCAGACACGGAAGATTGACGGGTGCCGTCGCCACCCCGCGGCTGTGGTCCCACCACGGTCAAGCGGGGCACGCGGCAGCGTGCCTGTGCGTACCGGCGCGCGGCCCCGGTGTCAGAGGCCTGCCGCATGCTGAAGTGCTGCTCTTCCGAGCAACAACGCGCGGACCTCTTGGAGCTACTGAGCGTTCTTGGCGCGTCCTGGGCCGTCTTGCTGGCGTGCATGGCGGCTTGGGCGCCATGCTGGGCCATCTGGGGTATGTCTTGGCCATATCGGTGGTCTCCCAGCGCCGGTGGCAAGTGGATATTGTGACTTCGCCTACTCCTGACGCCGCGCCGATTGGAACCTCCCAGAGGTCCGAAAAGACCCCCAGACCCCCGGGGGCGAAATTGGACGCCCCAGGGGGGTGCCCTATTTGTCATTGCATTGTGTGCCGGCAGAGGGGCAGGGGGGAACGCCAAAAACCTTCCCAAACCGATGGCAAGCGAATGGTATCTTGCCCCTTGGGACTCTCTTCGGTTGCCACGGCCGAACGCTCTTAGAGTGTCTCGAAGGCGGTTTGGGCCGTCTAAACACACTCCTCCTAACAACTGTACATAAACAAAGAACTCTTAAAATCCTGCTTGGCCACCTGGGGGTCCCAGTGCGCGGAGAGGTCTGAATCTTGGTTCGTGCTCGCCCTCTGAGGCCGATCTTGGGCGGTACGCCTCATCTTGTCCTCCCCGGCCTCCCTCCACTGCCTCCTCATCCTCCTCGTCTCGGTTCCCAACCACCCTCTGTGTTGGGTCCCCGTTTTGAGCCTGCAGCGCCGCGCTCCACGTCCTCCTTTTCGGCCTCCTCCTTCTCCTTCTTCGCTCATCCGCCCCTCCATCGTGCCGCTCGTCCCTCCTCCCATCCTTTCCCCCCACCCCCGATGCTGCTCCACTCCTCTGCTCCTCTGCTCATCCTCCTTCACCTCGCCCTTTTCTTATTCTTCTTTTTCCTCCTCCTCCTCCTCCTCCTCCTCCTCAGCCTTTTCTCTCGGCGGGGGCCCGGGGTGCACCAGCCAACTCGGGGAGGGCAGTGCTACTGCGAGCCAAGCCGTCAAAAAGGCGGAGCCAGACGTCCGCAGCTGCGGCGCCGAGACCATGCCCCACCGATCCACGCGCGCCAGATGACGTCTCTCTCTCTTGTCCCCCGCTCTCGGCCCCTCCGCCCCTCTCCCCCGTCGTCATCATCAAAGCGTGCGGCGTTGCCAGCCCCAAGGGCGTGCTCCACATACCTCGTGGAAGCCACACAGCGCCCGACGTCATCAGCCACAAGCCACACAGCGCCCGACGTCATCAGCCACAGCGTGCAGCTCAGAGGAGCAGCGGCAGCAATGGCAACGGACCCTGCTGCTACTTACCATGGGTTTCGACGCGACCACCAGTTGCAGACCACCGAAGCGAGAGCCCGATGTCATCCACCATAGTGTGGGCACCGGGGAGTGCGAGAACGGCGGCCAGCGGCAGGAGGCTTTGCCTACACTCTGAGAGGAGCAGGAGGCGAAGCCGGAGCCCAAGCCGCCTATCTACAAACAGCGGGAGGCGAAGTCCGAGCCCGATGCCGTCAGCTACAGCGCAGGCGACGGCAAGGGACGAGCGGCAAAGACGAAGGCCGAGCCCGACGTCACAGGCTACGCTGCGACGACGGCAAGCTACGGGCACGACGGCCATGGGACGGCGATGGACGGGTTCGATGACGCCAGCTACAGCGCGGCGACGACGACCCGTCACTCAGAGACGCGAGCGAGGGGGCGGCGAAGGACGAGCCCGATGCCATCCCAGCGGCGGCCTGGCGACGTGCGAGAGGAGGCGAACAGGTGCAGCAGGCTCGGGCGCTGCTCGAAGAGAAGGGAAAGCCCGACACCATCACCTGTAAGCTTGGGACCAGGGCGTGCGAGGAGACCGAGACCCCATGCGAGAAGCGGGGGGCGAAGTTGGAGCCCAAACCAGCCACTGTCTGCGCCCGGAGCAGCGAGGGTTGAGCAGCGGGAGGCCAAGCTGGGACCCAAATTGTCTGCTCTGCCGTGTCAAGCGTGCGCGATCAGGGCGGGCAGACGCAGCAGGCTCCAGCGCTACTCCTCGAACGGTGGGAGGCAAAGCGCAAGCCCGAAGCCACAAGCTACAGCGCAGACGCAGCGGGGCAGGCGGCTCGGACACCACCCTGGGGGAAGCGGGAGGGGATGACCGCACCCGATGTCATCCACAGCTGTGCTGAGCCGCGGGGGGACGAGTGTGCAGCCACAGCGCGAGAATACCACGGTGATCGTGGGGCCGTGCACGGCCTCTGCTGCAGTGCGGGGACCAGGTCGTGCGAGAACCGAGGCAGTGGCAGCAGTGTCTGCCGTCGCGGCGATCGGCTGGGCGCTTCCAAGGCTGCGGTGTGGAGAGCAGCTCGTGCGAAAAATTGCGAGGACACGCAGCCCGTCAACGGGGGCACGCTGTTCCCTGGCTCGGCGCGGGGACGGCCCGATGCGCCCAGGGGGCCCTCGGCGCGAATCCACGGGGCGTCGCGAACGGATTTGGCCCGCACGATCCTCCTCCTCCTCCTCCTCCTCCTCCTCCTCCTCCTACCTCTGCTCGCCAAATCGTATTCCCATCGTTGTCCCAAAATTCCGCGCGCCTTTTCCGTCGCAAGCCACACACGCTTCGTGCCCCCCCCCCCGTAGGGAGCCCCACCGACGAAGTCCACGGCAGAGTCCGCCCGCCCTCGCCGCGACCATGCAGGCACGCCCCTCGCGCGCTTCTTGGCTCGAGAAGGGGGCTCCATCGAAGGCCCCAATGCTGTGGATGCCACGACAGGGACATCCTACAGTCCTATCATTGAATTTAGCATGTGTTTTGAAATGTCTGAAAATGTGATAAACATGTTTTGCGCAAGTTTTACACAAGTGTTTCACATGTTTAAAACATGTTTGACATCTGGAAACTACTTGGCAAAATGCTTCCTCTCCATGGATTGCCCTCCACAGCCCCAATGCGAGGGTCCGCATGCCGCCGCCCTGGCCCTTTCGGCCGCACCCCTCGCACGTCGCAGCTCCAGGGGCAGCTGCACCGAAAACCACAGCGGCAGGCGCCGCACCCCACCGCCCCGACCGCTTCGGCATGCCCCGCGCGCGGTCCGTAGCCCCACGGGGGAGCTCCGCCGAGGGCCTCAAGTGGCGGGGTCCGCCCGCCCCGGCCCCCGCTGTGCCGACAGGCTCCTCCAACGGCTCGTGGCCCAACGAGCAGGGAGCTCCCCGGATGGGCCTCCACGGCAAGGCCCGCACGCCCGCCGCCTCGGCCGTTGCGGCACAGCTCTCGCACGCTTCGTGATTCCAGGATGCGGGCGCTCCACCGATGGGCAAGCTGGCAAAGTCCGCATGCCGCCGCCCCGACGACTTCGGCACATCTGTCACGCGCTGCGTGGCCCCATAGGGAGCCCCACTCAGACCCCAGAGGCAGGGTCGAATGGCACCGCCGCGCCCACTTCGGAGCACCACTCACACGCTTCGTGGCCGTACAGAGGCTCCGCCAAGGTTCCCAAACGACTTGTGGACCGCATCCGCATTGCCTCAGAGTTCATTCCTCACGCGGCGCGCTACCTACAAGGAGGGAGCAATATCTCGCGTCACTCGCGACTGCATGGGGGTGGGTCCTGCACCAGGCTAGCTGTACGTACTCGCCGTTTCGCCCTTCAGGGTGCTTAAGGCATGCCAAGAGGCCCCCAAGGTCGCCCCACGACAACCTAAAAGTGTCCCCGAGAGGCAGCACAGCGGTCCAGCAGGACCCCACGGTGTCCTAAAGAGGTCCCCCCCACTGCCCAAGAGACCCCCACCGGGTGCCCAGCAAGAGCCCGAGAGGGGGAACTCGAAAGGAGCCCTGGAGCGCTCCCCCACGAGGTGGCCCCGAAGACCCCCAGCCATGCCCCAGAGAGAAGCCGAGGAAGGGCTCCCAGCAGGCCCCCAACAAGCCCCCAGAGGCCGCCAAGAGGTCCCAAAGAAGGCCCCAGGGCTTCTTCTGACGACTGGATTCCACCCGACGTGCGCACGGCGCCAAGACCGTTCTACGACAACGACCCCACTGGGAAGAGAGGCATTCAGGGCTCTCATGGGATCGGCGGCGCGGCGTAGACAAACGCATAATCAGTTGCAACGCCGCGCACTCTGTTGCAAGCAGGCGAACGGCACGGCACTGCGACTGCGACAAGGAGAGCAGTATGTACAAAACGGGTAGAGCCTTCCGAAAATGGCTCCATGGTTTTGCCTCAGAGGGTATTCTGACATTATTCTTTGCGACTGTGGTACGGATGGGTGCTATCCGAACCGTCTCAAGATCCCGTCGAACCTACCTCCATCGCCCAGGCCCGAGTACACATGGGCCAGAGTGCGCGGCAAGTCACAGCGCAACCTCGGCACAGATGGCAGGCAAAGAAAAGTAGCGGTGGCACGCACGCAACAATCAAATCAATGACAGCCGCAGGCCTTGTGCCCGTGAACGCTGTCGCCGTTGTGGCTGCCGTGGCCGCAGGCATGGTCGCCGCCATGCCTGTTATCGTGACCACCGCCGCCCTTGCCCCCATGACTGTGGCCGCCGTGGCAGCTATCGTAGCCGCCGCCATGGCTGTCGCCATGACCGCCACAGGCCTTGCCCCCGTGACTGTGGCCGCCGTGGAAGCTATGGTGGCCGCCGCCGTGGCTGTCGCCATGACCGCCGCAGGCCTTGCCCCCGTGACTGTGGCCGCCGTGGCAGCTGTCATGGCCGCCGCCATGGCTGTCACCATGACCAGCGTGGCCCTCGACATGGCCCCGTGGATCGCCGAGGCCGTCTGCTGCCGCGGACGCGCTCGCGGCCGCAGGCGGGCGGCAGCAACTGTGATCATGGCCATGGCCATGGCCGCCGTGGCCGGGGCCATGGCCGCCGCCGAATTTCGGTAGGGCCCAGCGGCTCTTCGCAACCTCGCCCTCGTGGCTGGGGCCGGGCCCGTGGGCGTCGCCCTTCGCCTTCCGCTGACTCAGTACGAGGGACGCGTTGATGGTGACGATGAGCATCGAGCCGAGGTCGACGACGATGGCACTCCACAAGGACGCGTAGCCGACCACGGCAAGCACGACCATAACGAGCTTGGAGAACAGGGCGAAGAAAACGTTCTGCTTCACCTTCCTCATGGCGGTCCGGCCAAGCTTCACGGCGGTTGTCAACTTTCGCAAATCCGAATCCATGAGCACCACATGCGCATTTTCCATGGCCACCTGCGTGCCCGCCGCACCCATGGCGATGCCCACGTCGGCGGCAGCCAGCGCGGCCGCGTCGTTCACGCCGTCGCCCACCATGGCCACGGCCCTCCTTGCCGCGAAGGGCCAGCCAGTAGCCTTCGGCCTTCTCGCCAGGACTGCCGTCACCTTGTCCTCGGGTAGGAGCTCCGCGCTCACGTCGGCCACGCCGACCTTGGCTGCCGCGGCCTCCGCGGGGGCCAAGCGGTCGCCGGTAAGCATCACCACATCCACACCCAGATCGCGGAGGGCTTTCACGACCCCCGCCGCCTCCTCCCTCGGCGCGTCGGCCACGCCGATGATGGTGGCGAGGCGCCCACCCACCCCGAGGTAGCACACAGTCTGCGCCTGCGCCTCGATCTCGGCGACCTGCTCCGCGACGTCAGGCGCCATGGTGCCCTTCTGGAGTCTCTCGCCGCCGTCGGTGGAGGCCTCGTCGATACCCACTGCCACGGCCTGGGGCCTGGCGTCCGCCGCCGCCCAGCCCATGCGGCGCGCGAGGCGGCGGCTGCCAATCTGCACGCTTGCGCCCTGGATGGTGGCCTCGAGGCCCTCGCCAGGCAGCTCCTGGACGTCCTCCACATGAATGCCTTCGTCCTCCGCGCCCTCACTCCGGGCGTGCGCCACGAGCGCGGAGGCCAGGGGGTGCGTGGACAACCGCTCTACCGCCGCCAGGTAGCCCATGAGGCGAAGGTGCTCCGCCCGACTGTCCCTGCCTTCGCCGACGTGCAGCACCGTCCTCACCCGGAAGCGGCCCTCCGACAAGGTGCCCGTCTTGTCCATGCACATGGTCTGGACCCTGCCAAGCACCTCCAGGTCCGCCGCCGTGCTCCCTGGCACGCACGTTGGGGCGTGCTAGACTGCCAGGAGCTATCAAGTAGGGGCTCTGTGATCTCCTCGAGCTCCCCCCCCTCTCTTGCCGCGCTGCGCCGCACGCACCGCCCCCGCTCTCGAGGCCGCAATCCCCAACAACATGCGACAGACTTGCGCTCTCGAGGCCACGATCCGTTGCACAATGCGGAGAATTCGCGCTCACGAGGCCACAATGTCATCGTTTTCTTTCGTTGTTTTGCAGAGGGGCGCGGGCCCTAGCACCCCCCTCCCTCCCCCCCCCCTGGAGTAGATCTTGGCTGTGTTTTGGCGCCTGTTTCGAGCAGGTGGAGTCCCGCCCCATGAGACGCACTGTCGCAAACGGTCGCACTAAGCAGAGGTCTGGAGCCAGACACCCCCCCTCCCCCCCCCCTTCCGCCCAATATCGAAACGTCGAATACAACAACGCTCACAACCCTTGGTAACATGCGACAGATGCGTGTTCCCGAGGCCAAGATGCCTCCCAAGATGGCCCAGGATTGGCTCCCCAAGACGGCCAGCTGGGGCCTCAAGACGGCCCAAGATACCTCCAAGACGGCCCCAAGGACGGCCCCAAATGGCCCCAAGACGGCCTAAGAGCCAAGAGGGCCTCCCGTGGGACCCAAAACGGCCTTCGAAGGCCCTTCGACGGCCCTTCGACGGCCCCCAGGCACCCACCATGCGGCCGAGAGGTCCCCAAGACGGCCTTAAAGAGACCCAAGAAGGCCTCTGAGGGCCCCGGCCCAAGGGGGCCCCAAAGGGGCCCCCAAATCTGTCTCACAGGAGGTTAACGCAGCCACAAGACGGCCCAGGCGAGTTCCATGAGGGCTCCCCCCCTATAGAAGATGAAAGGTGTCACATGTGACACCCGTCCTCTTCCTCCTGCTCCTCCTGCTTAGAAATGACAGCAGCTTCACGGATGGAGGGCGGGTCGCTTCAAACATGTGGCTCTCACCTTAGCGCCGCGCACATTCCAAGAGTTTCACGGGTTGAAGCGGGTGGTATTCAACATGTGACTCTCGCCTTTAGCGCCGCGCACACTCGTCTTAAATATGTACGAAAATATTTACAAGAGCTTCACGGATCGATGAAGGCTGGTTTTCAGAATGTAGCTCGCGCCTTCACGCCGCTTGAACAATTGCAAGAGCTTCGCGGGTTGAGGGGAGCTCCTTTTCAGAATGTGGCTCTCGCCGTAGCGCCGCGCACACTCGTCATTATCAATTGCAAGAGTTGCACGGGTTCACATCGTTAACGTACCAGGCACTGTGTTCTGGACCGTGTCAGGATTGTCAGGGCGCAACAGTTGCGTTGATTCGCGGAGTTCGTAACCCTGGAATGGCATTCTGGCATGATCCAGAATCGCCAAGACGCAACAGTCAGGTTGATTCGTGGCGCTGAAATCCTGAGTATGGTGTTGTGGCACGCTTCGGGATCTTCAACGCATGTCCTCTAACAGTCACTTCCTTCAGTGGACATGAAACTTTGCATGTGGCCAATGCAGAGGGAGCTTGGAGGGAGGGGTTATTCCATCATCGTCGGTGAGTCTTGGCACTGCGCTGGTCCTACTACTCCTCCTCCTCCTCACCAGCACCACCACTATCATCCTCATCATCATCCTCATCAACAGCATCAGCATCATCATCATCATCAACGGCATCATCATCACCAGCATCATCATCATCATCGCCGTCATCGCCACCAACACTTCCAGCACCATCATCACCCTGATCAGCATCATCCTCATCATCATCGAAATCAGCAGAATCATTATCAGCCTCATCATCATCACCAGCATCATCATCACCATCATCACCATCAGCATCATCATAACAAACATCATCACCATCATCATGAGCATCAGTATCATCACCAGCATCATGAGCAGCATCATCATCATCAGCATCATCATCACCATCATCATCAGCATCATCATAACAAACATCATCACCATCATCATGAGCATCAATATCATCACCATCATCATCATCATCATCATCATCATCATCATCATCATCATCATCATCATCATCATGGCCCACCCAAGCCTGAAGACACGAGGCGTCACACCTGACGGCCTCCTGTGCCCCCCCCCGAACAGTCGCCACCGATGATGCTGGGCTGGCACAGTGGCGGGACTTGCCGCAGGCAGCTGGATACTCGCCGCCACGTACCAAGATGTTGTGCGTAGCCGCAGTGGAGAGGGTGCTCACGTAGGTGACGGGCGTGGAGATGACGAGGGCGCAGGGGCAGGCCACGACCAGCAGGACCAGAGCCCTGTACAGCCAATCCATCGCCTCCTCTTCGCCGAGGAAGATCCACGGGACAGCGCCGAGCAACAGCGCTGACACAACGACGATGGGCGTGTAAACCTTGGCGAAGCGCTCGACAAGGATCTCGGTCTTCGACCGGCTCGCCTGAGCCTCCTCGATGAGCTTCACCATCCTCGCCACAGCGGAATCGCCCACCAGAGCAGTCGCCTCGATCTCCAAGTAGCCCCCGCCAACGTTCACGGTGCCCGCGAAGACGCGGGAGCCAACCCGCTTTCGCGCGGGCACAGACTCCCCGGTGAGGGCGCTCTCGTCCAGGCCCGACGTTCCTTCGACGACGACGCCATCCACCGGGACCTTGTCGCCGGCCCGGACGGCCAAGCGGCTGCCGACGACCACCTCGTCCACGGGAATCTTCTGGCCCGTGCCCGCCACAACCGCCTGCTCGGGCCGCATGGCCAGCACGGCGGCCAAAGCGTTGCGCGCCTTGGCTGTGGCAAGGAACTCCAGCCACTCCGAGAGGCGAAAGAGAAACACCACTGCCGCTGCTTCGACGTAGTCCCCGATGCCGATGGCGCCGCACACCGCGATCCCCATAAGGCAATTGATGTCGAGGACGCGATTTCTCAGAGCCCCCCAGGCCTTCAGGAGAATGCGGGGTGAACCGACTGCCACGGCGGCAAGAGCCACGTACTTCAGGTAGTGTACCCATGTCTCCTCGTCGTGATCCGCCAAACTCGCGAAAGACACGATCCACAGCAGTCCGCAGACGAGTAGCAACGGCGATGGGCACCGGCTCTCCATTTGCTCGTCTTCGCCGTCACCTCGCCGGAGCCGCGCCCCCAAGGACGCCTTGTTCAGAGCATGCACGAGATCCTCAGGTGAAGTGAGCATGGGATTGTGCTCGACGGTCGTCTGCTTCGCCGTGACGTTTGTCGACACCTTATCAACGCCAGAGAGCTTCTGGAGGATGTTATCAATTATCGGCACCTCGCTCGGGCAGCATATGCCCTCTACTATCATCACTGTGGTCACTTTTCTGCCGCTGAGCTGACGCGTGCCCTTCGGTCCCAACAGTGCTTCGAGGGACACGCCGTAGACGGACATGCTGATCGAGGAGCCACCCGCACGGTCTCGGTAGAGAAACGCGAAGGGCGCGCTCTGCTTGATTTCGCCGTGGCAGTCGTTGTGCTGTGGCCCGTCCGCAGTCCCCTCCGCGCAGTGCGCGTGCTCCAGGAGGAGCCGCCCGTCGGTCGCTTGCACAATGTAGTCGACATGATCGCCGTGCTTGACGACAGGATGGCCGCACGTAGCCGAGTGCTTGTGCACGACTGGAGGCACGGGCGACCCTACCACGGCCGGCGACGGGTGGTCCCTGCAGCAAGCGCAGCGAGCGAGCGCCTTCTCGCACTGGCCGGGGAAGGTGCCGTCCACCGGGAGGGCCACGCAGGTGCGGCACTGCAGCAGCGTGACCCCGAACTTCGCCAGCTCCTCGCAGCCCGCGCGGGCCTCGTAACAGCCCTCGTGTGCGGCGTGCACGTGGAGGTGGGGCTCCTCCTCCGTGCAGCTCGGCGTCTGGCACTTGCCGCCGACGGGATCCCCGGCGAGGCTGCGGATGCAGATGTCCCCGGCGGGCAGGTCCCTGATCGCTGCGCTCTTGAACGCACGCTGCTCGCCGTCGATCGCCATGGTGATGCAGATGCCGCCCTCGCGGCACTGGTGCGAGATGGCGAAGCCGCCGCCCCCCGAGGCGCCGCCGGAGCCGTGCGCGGGGCCCTGGCCTGTCCCGCCGTGGCCCTCGTGGCCCTCGTGGTGGCCGCCGTGGCCGTGGCTGCAGCCGCCGCCGTGCCCGCCGCCGTGCGCGTGGCCCTCGTGGCCCTCGTGGTGGCCGCCGCGGCCGTGGCTGCAGCCGCCGCCATGCCCGCCGCCGTGCGCGTGGCCGCCCTCGGCTGCTGCGGCGCCATCCTGGGGTCGGGCACGTCCCCCTGCAGGCCGAAGGATGGCAGAAACATTGAGGGTCAATTGCGAAGCAGATTCAAACATGGTGCGGTCGGGCTCGATTGGAGAGGACACGCGAGGGGACACAAGAGCCTCTCGAGGGCCAAGTCGCCGTAGGAGTGTGGACAGCGTGGGTCGCGAGCCACAGGACACAAGGGTGCCCTTGATCTGGGCAGGGTCGACCCACTAATCCGGGCCGACTGTAGGAGAAATCGCCCCCAGACCAGACTTCTACTACTTTTGAGTCTTCCTCCTGCAGAGGGGCGTGCCCGACTTCACGCCCTCCCCGCCCACCTGGCCGCTCCCGTCGTGGCCGCCTGCGCGGCCAGCCCCGTGGCCGCCGCAGCGCCTGCCGCCGTGGCTGTGCCCGCCCATGCTGCGAGAGTGGGCGCAGCGCAGGCGGGGCCGCAGAGAGCCGGCGGGCGGCTTCGAAACTCACCCCTGCGCGAGCGGGTCAGAGCACACCCGCCGCGATGCAGAACACACCCCTCGGACTACAACGGCAGCGGATCCGGGAGCCATCGCGCGCGCGCGCTCAGCCTCGGATGCCTTGGAGCCTGGCGTATAGCGTGCAAGAGGGGCCGTGCCCGAAGAGACAGAGACTGTGGGTTGCAACGCCCGCGCGGTCGTTGCCGAATGTGCGCGATTCGGGTCGGTGCTCGAGTGCTCGAGCTGGCGCCAGGGTGCCACAACGACCTGCACTCAGAATGCGGTTCTCCATGTTGCTGCCCCATCCCCACGCTCGCTGGAGGAACAAACACCAGGCTGAACAATCATACGATTTCGGAGGTCCCCGCGGATTTCTTGGATCGGCGCTGGGCTCCCCCCTCCCCTGGCGCGCGGAGCGCGCCGTGGGGCGGCGCCGAGGGCGCCGCTGGGGAGGGCCGGCGCCGATCCCACGAGAGCCGCGGGGACCTCCCGATGCTCACGGCCATCGTGGTACCGTAGGCAACGCTGCCTGAGGAACGAAGGGGTCTTCTTGCCCGGCCCGCTTCTTCGTTGTCGGCCCGTCTCGCAGTCCGAATAAGAGCTGCGGTAGCCCTGCGTTTGCTGCAGCGTGAGGCGCACCCCTCGCACGCCATTGTATCACGGTTTCCGACGTCTAGGGGGAAAACAAACCTACCTCGCTTTTGACCACCCTCGCTTCCAAGAGATACCAAGCGATGCCAAACCACGGCCTGTACTGGTCAGGTCGCTTGACGAGGAGGCGCGTGGTATGACTTGGTTTTTCCTGGAAGCGAAAGCGGGGCAGGTAATTCACGCTCTGAACATCGGGGGCCGACGAAGGTGCTTTTGGGCCACGGCGAGCTTCGTCCACGAGGAGGTTCCACGACCTGGCCACAATCTCGGGAGCGGCCCCCAAGCCAGAGCCCCTCCTGAGCCCAAAGTGGTCCCTGCTTCGGCGGCTTGAGGGTATGCATGTGCATGTGCAGTGTGTACTTCCTCGAGCCGCGCTGCCATCCCCCCTAGCCGAAGTCAAGGAAAGGAGGAGGAACGGCGCGGGGAGGCGGGGCAAGGGGTGCCCAGGGCAGACGGGAGCAAGGGAGGAGGGACGAGAGAGGAAGGGGAAGAACGAGGGAGGGGGGACGAGGGGGAAGGAGGAGGAGGAGGAGGCAGGAACAACCAACATCGAATCAAGAAATCGGATCGGGTCGGAACGTGGTGCATCGCATCAGGCCGCAGCGGTACAGAGTCGGAATCGAAGCGAGTCGGCGGCGTCAGGATTCCCAACAGCGCCATGCAAACATCGGGCCGCATCGGATCGACTGAAAATCGGAATCGAATCAAATCGGGCCGGCCAGAGCAGATATTAAGTCATATCAGTCAAATCGGAATGAGCCCTGGAAAATAGGAGGGCGGTGCGGAAAAAGAAAGAGGCGAGAGAAGGAAGGAAGGACGAGGATTGCTCGCTCTCGTCCAGTCAGTTCATGGCAACTCGACATTCCTCTCTGCGAACCTGGCGAGGGGGGAATGTACCGCATGCGTGCCCTATTCTGCTTGCTGGTTCTGACGAGCCACACGCGGAGGCAGATGCTGCGGCTTGCTACCTGCGCGGTGGCCTGGAGAAGGACGAGGGTAACGATGAGGAGAATAAGGAAGATGGCGAGGAAGATGACGAGGAAGAGGAGGAGGAGGAGGAGCAGGATGTGGAGCCTCACGGGGAGGAGCACTGATGAAGCGGATAAGGATGAGAAAGAATAGGGTGGGACAAGGAGTAATGGCAATGAGCAGGTGGGGTGCTACTCCTCTTCCTCTTTCTCTTCGTCTCTTCCGCTCATCCACCGCCACCTCCTGATCAGAATCCACGGTAGGGTCTCGACTGGCCGTCTCTGGGATGTATTTTGGTTTCAGCCGACTGCTTTCCAGCAATGGTGCGAACCGGTAGAGCCCTCTGGGCGCTCCGAAACTTGACGTTGGGAACATCGTCCGCTTCGCTTGGCACTGTTGAGGACGTGGTTGAAAATGGCACTGCCGCGGCCAACTTTCGCAAAGCCGCTGGCTGAAATGCTTCGGCCCGCCGCGGCCGGTGGCGACACCCGTGCAGTTCGCCTCGCATCCGCTCGGAGGCAGCGCCCAAAAACCCCGACGCCGTGGCGAGGCACGCCGCCGTCGCCGTCCGGCCGGCGAAGGATGGCTGAAGGGGCCCAAGGACACACAAATAAATACACACAAATAAAAGAAAAAAACATATTTTCCTATATTTTCTGGGTTTCTGTCTTCCCGCCCACTCCCCATATTTTCCCATATTTTCTGGGAAATCGAGGATTAATTGTGTCTGTGTGTTTCTTTTCCTCCTGAATGGCGCGAGACCGAAAAAGCTGCCAACACCACAGAGCCAAAGACACCGACTGTTCTGCGGCGTCGTAATGTGTCGGACCCCCGGCCCATCCTCCGGCGTTGGATTCACCATCGCCTTCACCAGCGCTCGGAGCGGAGGCCGAACGCCTCGAGGCAGAACGTCGCAGACCAGCTGCTGACGAAGTAAGCAGCGTGTAGTTGAAGGTACAGTGCGACCCATGGATGGCCAACATCCGGGCGTAGGAGAAACAGTCGAGGAAGCTCGATTCCCTGAAGGAGCCTCCAGCTCCTCCTGCTTGTCCTTCGGACTCCAAGAAAGCCTCCTCGGCGGGACCGCAGTATCCGGAGTCGGCTGGGCTGTCAATGGCAAGCCACGCCCAAGCGAAGGGCGAATGCCAGCATCCCCAGACCGTAGACTGTGAACGCAGCCCTCTAACCAGTGTAGACAGCGAGCGCTCCAGACAAGGGCACCACGATAAAGGGGGCCTGGGGTGATGACAGAGTGCAGCGCCTCGCTGGGCAACGTCCGAGGAGGCGCTGTCACGTGGACATTGGCCGTTCTTCGGCGGGGAGCCACCGCGCGAGCAGCTGAATGCTTGCGGGACAGAGCGGGCCCATGGCTACTGCCATGGCAACCTGGCAGACAACTCTGTTCCCTAGCCCATGTGCCAACGCGGCAGCAGGAGTGGCCGCCATCGCGATGCTTGAGAGGCTCAGCGCCCACGACACTACGCTCTTCTGCCACCGAACCCGTCGGTGAAACAGCCGCCGACTATCTGCGTCGAGCAGTACCCAGCCGCGTGGGCGGACAGGAGGCGCCGCACTGTATGGCTTCACAGAGGGGGACGCTGAGCGCACCCATGGCCATTCGGAGGATAGTCTGGCCAACCTTGCTGCAGAAGACTAGGGCGACCAGCCACTGGCGCGCCGACAGGCGCCTTCTTCTCATGCCCAGTGAGTCGCCGCACAGCTGCTTGGACAATGGGCTCCTCCGCTGGCGAGAATGGTCGCCAGAGGGGTCGCCCGAGATTTGGATCACCGAGGTGGGCGGCTTCCGAACACCGCGCCTGGCTTGCAGTATGGCGCCCGAACACGGTGAACAAAAAAAAACACACTTTCACGAACCTGGCTGCGCCTGCTGTCTGCTTGAGCCCACATCGCGTGGGTCAAAATGGCTACAGACCGTCTCTGGGATGTCTTTGGGCCTGGTGAGCTCTTGTTAGGGTTCTCTTCTGGCAATTTTGCTACCTTGGGGGGCCATCTTGGACCCATCTTGGACCCTCGGGCCCTCGTGGGGCCATCTTTGAGTCTTCCAGGAGCCTCCCGGGCGCTTGTGGGTCTTGGGTCGATTTGGGCTGCTCCAGGAACCATTTTCGGCCCTCTGGCTATCTTGGGGCCGTCCGGGGCACTTCTGGAGCCCTCTTGGGGCTCTCTTGGGGCTCTCTATTTGACGCTCTCCAGCTCCTCCGAGGCCCTCTTGGTGCCACATCTGGTCAGCAGGTGCGGAACCCCCTAAGCCGTCAAACATTAAATGCCTTCTGCATTGTGATGATTGAGGCGATCTGGGAATCGTCTGGAAACGGCGGCGAGCCACGGGGGAAAGAGAGGAGGAGGAGGAGGAGGAGGAGGAGGAGGAGGAGGAGGAGGAGGAGGAGGAGGAGGAGGAGGAGGAGGAGGGGAGGAGGAGGAGCAGGAGGAGGAGGAGGAGGAGGGAGGAGGGAGGAGGGAGGAGGGCGGAGGGAGGGGGGAGGGAGGAGGGAGGAGGGAGGAGGGAGGGAGGGAGGAGGAGGGAGGGAGGGAGGGAGGGGAGGGAGGAGAGGAGGAGGAGGAGGAGGAGGAGAGGCAGGAGGAGGAGAGAGGAGGGGAGAGGAAGGAGGAGGAGGAGGAGGAGGAGGAGGAGGAGGAGGAGGGAGGAGGGAGGTCAGAAGGCTCGGATTTCCCCCGGCCCTCTGAGGAGTTTCCTAAGCCTCCCCAGAAGACACACAAAAAAACGCTCAGAGGGCCAGAGGCCTCTCGAGATTCCTCGCTGTCTTCTGAGAAGGCTTTCTCCTTCTCGTTTCCCCCACTCGTCGCCGCCGATGGGACCCTCTGGTAACCTGTTGGAGCCCTCGTGGAATGGTTGTGCAGCCTGTTTCGCTCTTTGGGGCTCTCGTGGGGTCGCCTGGGAGAACTGTCGGGAAATCGGGGGATGCGCTGGGGTCGTCTCGGAGGCTCGTGGACCCTCCGAAGGGGCCAGGAGGGCCGTATCCCAACTGGACGGTCCAGATCAACACAGGCAAGAAAGCCAGTTCCAGATCCAAACCGCAGGACGAAGCTACGCGAAGCATCTTTATTGTATTGCATGATCGTCTTGGCAGTGAAAGCCAACTTGTATCCTTTCAAGAAGTCGATCGGCTTTTCATAATGCTAGACCGCTCCGCTATGTTATTACATCCGAGCTGTACGTATTCCAAGAGGGCTTTATATCAGCTCAAGGAACTCCAAGACGGCAATTAACAATAATGTATTCGAGGAGAGGGCGAAACTTGTTCCAAACGTATGCGAAACGGATGGAATGCGCATCCAGAAATGACCAGACGCGCATACGAAAACTATGCGGAACGCTTCAGACATGCAGGCAACGCGCATGCCAAACTTAAACAAAACGTATACGCAACGTGTATGACACGCAGATGATTCGACTCTGAAACGCATCCCGAACGGGCACGAAACGTACAAGGAGCGTGTACGAATGTTACACGTGAGTAGAACGT